CCATTCAGCTTTTTCTTTTCCTATGCTAAGCCAGTTGTGTTACTGTAATGCATATAACCTGAACACGGATGGTTGCAGAATCACACTCTTGATGTTGGATGTGTTAGAGCGCTGAATGAGAAACTAGTCTGTTCTTGTTGAGGTCGGAGATCAGGGTCAGATACACATCAGCACTTCTGAGGCATAAACCTCCCATTTTGCCCTGTTACCCAAAGGCTGGACAAAATAACATGAACACCTGATATGAGTCCAGAGCAACAGTCCGTGGAGATGCTGATTCAGGTGTACCTAAAGTTTTTGATAATACGGTCCTGTGTGGTTATCTACCCCGTGAGCAAAATAATGTCTTACAGGAGCTAAAAAGTGATACCTGAGCAGTTTTTAAATTGTGAGTTGGGGGACTCAGAGGTGACAGGTTTAGCAGCAGCTGTAGGTAGAGCAAGCTGTCTAATAACTGCCAGGGGTGGCAATCCGATCCCTAATTGCTTCAAGTGGTAGATGTGTGTGTGGTAAATGTGTGAATGAAACTATAGAGCTTTTTGGATACAATCACTAAAAATCATTTAACAAAATATCAAAAAAATCAAAGTCCACTTACTCTGATATTCTGAAGGTTTCAGCCACATTCTGGGGCCCTTCTCAGTGGATGCAGTTTTCTCAGTTGTCATGGAGATGGTTCATCTAGGATATGTGCAGACACTGTTTTCTCTATAAACTGTTGAAGAGTGTATTAAGCCATGAATTTAATTTACAAAAGTCTTGTTTTTTAGGCAGTAATGAGAGTTATAAATGGTTTTTGCATCCATTTACAGGCTGCCAGGAGATGTTACACTCCTATAAACCTAAAGGTTTGATTGTTGCAACAGTGGATTGTGCTGCTGGAGCCTGTTCAGCCCTTTTTTTGTGAAGCTAAATGGGAAGCTTTTTGGTCTTACAGTAGTGAAGTACTGATTTGAGCAAAAAACTTTTGTATGAATTAATCTTTTTTTTAATTAGTTAATCCTTCCATCTATTGTCTACTGCTGCATTAGTTTGGTATTTTATTGGTATTTTCTTCTTGGAAATGCAAAAAAAAAGTATAAAATAAAATAATAATACTACCACATTTTGGCTGGTAGGATTGTGAAGCAGGTGTTAAATAGCATTCTAAGATCTTAAAAAGTCTAAAATTTAACTTTTTAAATTAAAATTATTAGTTATTATCATGTGACCTACCTATAGAATGTTAGTTACATAATAAATACATTTAAACAAAGTCTAAATAAATACAGGACAGACTGTGATGGTGTGATATTTAGTCCCTAATATGAGTCAAGCCAAAAAATGCAACAACATTAACATCCCATAATGCAACTAGTAGCATCTTTTCAACAGATTCTTCCTGCCTGGTATAATATTCACATGTCAAACATGAAATGTGAGTAGTGATGATCCTTTATGTCATTCTTAAGCACATACTATCTGCCTGTTAAGTGTGACGTAACATTCCACTTCCAGGTCCAAACTGGCCCAGGTCTAAACTGGCCCAGGTCCAAATGGCGGAGCCTGTCACTCTCTACACAGTCACATCTTTTTTCTTTAGCGAGGCCACACTGAGAGTAAAAAAGAAAAAAAAACATGAATACATTCCTTAAGGTTCAAGTAGAGTAGTCAGTGTTGCCGTTCTGCCTGGTGGAATAATAACCAAACTTTATTACTGATGACAATACATTTATTCCAATATATATCTATCTATATATAGATATATATACAGTATAACACCAAATATATTGAGTTATTTGTTTAACTTGTTTTTAATAGTTCCTAGCTTTTACTGTTACTTTCATCAAATGTGTCAATGTGCTGTAAAGTGTTTACATTATCTTTGTTAACTAGCTACATTACAAGGCACCTTTAAAAGCTTTATTTTTATTAATTTAAGAATGCTGTGACTTATCTAATCAACTGTAGTCATTTTTTTTTCTCCTTCCCACAATAAGGAAGGCGGTAAAATGATTTCTGACCCATGATTTTTGATTCAGATCTACTGAAATAATGATGGAACATCACACTATTTCAAATGGAAAGGAGGAGAATGAACTGACGTTTGGACCCGGAAACAGAATGTTACATCACCACTTAACAAGCGGATAGTAGCAGATGCTGATTGGTTACTTACAGTAGATATTATATGCAGGTGCTTCAGGAATGTGTGAAGTTATCTTCCTACTCTGCAGATGTCACCCCCTGCTGTTAAATTAAAATAGTGTGAAATAGCACATTGTTGTCAGGAACCTCATTATTTGTTCACCCAGTGCACAAACAAGAAACCTGGTATACCAATAATTCAAGTGTAATACTGTAACTTTATGTTGTGAAGTGAACTTTCTATCAGTGCTTTGAATCTCTGAACCCAGTTCAAATCCTGATACATCATTAAAGTTGATTCTTTAGTCCAGAACCACAGAAAACATTATACAACTGCATTCTCAGGCTGAGTGGCAAACTTCATGACTGCCAATTTTTATGTTTAAACTAATCTTACATTATGCTTTAAACCCCTGTATAGCATTGCATTACATAACGTCTCATAATCTCCTTACAATATAATATGTCCTGCAGCAACACAACAAAATGAAAATGCACAACTGTAACATGTATATTGAATTTGAGACCATGTTTTCTTTAATAAATACAAAGCGGACAAACAGAAAACCAGTGTTTGGTAGTGTACTTGATGTAGGCAGCATGATATGCAACCAGCTGTAACAGTTGATACTGTTGGCATTAGGGGGATTTTTAGATTCTCTTTGACATGTTTGTGATAGAGTCTTGGTGCTTACTCGGTGCAGATGCAGATTTTTCTAGCTGTTAAATAAAACTCTCCCTTGGTGTGCAGAGGCGGCTGAGACCCTGCATGTTTCCTTGCACATGTGTCAAATGGCAGACAGCAGGGAGCAAGGTGAGGGCAGGAGGGTGTGGGAGGTGAGGGGGGGGGAGAAGAACTGTACACAGGCCATTTAGTGGGTGTATGTTCATTAGCATGGAGCATGGAGCGTTCCCTCTCCTCGGGGAATGAGCTGTGCTATCTGACATTCTCGATACAGTAAACAAACTGTGCCCTGCACATCTCTGCTTCACACACACCGACGCGCGGCAACGACTTGCTCCGTGAGTCCATTTTAAGAGAGCGCTCAGCTGAAACAAAACTTTTCTCATTAATTAGTTCCAATGCAGTTCCACCTCAAAGTCCAAGTCCTGCTGCTGACTTGAATGAGACTTAACCATTTGCACCTCAGTTTTTTGTTGAGGTGTGAATGTGTTGCTTGTCTTAGAGCCCTCAACTTGACTTGTTATGCTCTCACAGTGTTGAGAAATTCTGCTCTCTCCACTTGTCTTTTATCAAAATCATTCAGGTTCAGGGCATGACTAGTGAGATTGATGGAAAATTGAGCTGCTCTCTCATGCAGCAAAGAACAGTGCAGCCATTCCTTCACCCGCCATTCCTCCATCAGTCCAAACGTGCACAGATAGAGACAATTGATAAATGTCTCTGAACTATTCTGAGATGGGAAATTTAAAGGCTTCAGATTTTGCCCTGTTCTTCTAGGGTGCACTGATAAATCTGGCTAAATGCTAGACAGTGATACACTCTGACACCTGAGGCAGCAACGTATTTCTCTGCATGGGGACACCAGGCACCAATTTATCTCCAGACTTGTGTCTATTTCTTATGATTGAGCTCTATAACTTCCAGAAATGGCCTCTTAAATCACAGTGTATTTTACAGTGTGTGAACCCTTGCTGAAATTGCAGACGGTGTCTACTGTTTCATGGTGAAATAACCGTCTTAAAACATTTTTCAACGTCACTCATTCTAAAGGCTTGGGCAGCCATTTCAGCTATATAAAGCACTGAAAATGTCCATGTAATGACCTGGATTCAACAATATAACACCAAAAATGGATTGATTATAACTTAGGGAGATATCACAGTTTGTTTTAAACATGTCCAAGTACTGCAGCCGATACTGCATTTTTAATTAAAAGAATATTTTGACATTTTGGGAAACACGCTCTTTCCTGCCTAGAATTAAATGTTTGTTAGAAAAGTTTGATGCCTGTGTCAGATGCTATAGAGAATACGAAGTTGTCATCACACCATGTTGAATTTTGGGTACATGTGCCATTTTGGGAGGATCACACTCATTATCCATCATAGAGATATACAAATATATAAATCTATCAGGAGATCAGGGTGCAGAGTCACTTTTCAGTCTGTCGCTCTCATCAACAGGCCATCTAGGTCCTAGTTAGCTACTGTCAACTAAGGATATTTATATTGAAATACCATAGTCCGTAAAGTGAGATCTAAATGATTTAAGCAACTTTTTAGCCAAACAAAACAAGAAAGTATGGCGATAAAAACTGTGCCTCCCTCCCAAAATGGTGTCCCCATCCCAACATTCAACATGGTGGGACACACCTTCACATTCTCTGTAGTTAGCAGCCAGTTAGCTTAGTACAATGACTGTGATGCCACCCAAGAAACAAGCTATCATGTATTAATTAATGAGCTTTAGAAGCACTACTGTATGGGTTGTGTTACCTTTGTACAGAGGCAGGCTAGCGGTTTCACCCTGCTTCCGCTATAGCGGCTGCTGGCTGTAGTTTTTTATTTGCTCTCCAGTCATAAAAAAATAGTACCAACCTCAACAAGAAAGTGAATATATTTGCAGAATATCAAACCTTTCAATGTAATATGTGAAATGATTTTGTGAAATAAAATTGGTTGTATTATCTCATTTTTATTGGTGAAGTTATTTTATTCTCTGTGGTTAGGTCATGCTAAAATGCTTTGAGAGAAAACAACCCAATTTAGTTTGTTTTGGCAGCCTAGTGATTTAATGCCGTAGTTTCCAGTTTGCTCCACACTTCACTGTGTGAAGGTTTGTAGCTTGATGACTGGATGAGAAGGTTTTCGGATCATTAAATTATTTGCAATTATCATCCTGTTTTCAGACTCCAGAGCTGGCGAGGGGGCACCGCAGAAAATTGACCATGCTGTCATTGGAGGAGTGGTTGCTGTGGTGATGTTTGCCATTCTTTGTGCGCTCATTGTTCTTGGTCGATACTTTGCCAGACACAAAGGTAAAACACCGGCAGTGCAATCACACTTGATCATGAACACATCTTCAAGTTTGAGTTTTTATTTTGCTGTTTTTTTTGCAATAGGATTAAAGTGCACAAATGGATGTGGAGGTGTGTCAGCTGATTTATTTGTACTCTTTCACAGGAACATACTTCACACATGAAGCCAAAGGGGCAGACGACGCAGCTGATGCAGACACCGCTATCATCAATGCGGAGGGAGGACACAACAACACAGATGAGAAGAAGGAGTACTATATTTAAACTGGACAGGCCAGGAGAGACGGGTGGGGATGCTGGTGGTGCTGGAGGTTTCTGTAGGAGCATTATGTCTAACTCTGATTGGTTGTGAGATGGCTTGGGCACACGAGATTTAAGAGGAAGAGAAGAAAGGATGATGTAGGAAGTAGGACTGGCACGGCCAAGTGGTAACAAGAGGCATTGCTCAGTCTCCTATCCGACCCTTCCTGGACTGCAGGGGCCTATTCTGTACAGTTCGATTATTTTACAGACAATTTTGTGCCTTGTTATATTTCTTTTGTTTAAGTTTTTTTTGTTCTTTTTTCCCATGCTTGTTGGATTGGATTTTTTCCATGTACTCCACCTGATCCTTGAGCCTGGTGATTGTCTATGTGTGCCGCAGCTAGCTTTTAGCTCATGTGCTCAGATCTGAGAGGAGCCAGTTCATCCCCATTTTTTCTGAGAAATCTCCAGAGGTCTGCAAAAGGTCAAAGTTCAAGCCCCCATACATGTAGATCTGATCGGCTTTGACAGTTTTCAGTGCAGATTGTAATTCCTCCCCTTAAAGATCACTGTGTTGATCATTAATTAAACAGTAATCATGCTGATCATAGAACATTTCTTATCGTATCATATCTTACAATATCATTTCAAACCAAACTGCAAAGTACAACTGGTTCCTTGGTGGTTTCAAGAAAATGCCAGACAACTAGCACTGTAGATGTGAGGCTAGCTTATTATTTGTCTAGGATATTGTGGAGTGCGGTCTTAGACGTCCTTACAGCTGTAATTTGCCATTAAGTGGAGTTAAGATTACTACAGAGAAAATCAGAACTGTTTATTCTTTTTAAGGTTTCTATCAGGCCCTTCTGATGATTGAGAGGACAACAGTAAATTAACAGCAGAACACATTGTGAACATTGTATTGTGATCTGCTTTCTTTCTTTTTTGTTGTCAGCTGAACATATGGTTCTGAAAAAAAAAATCTCATACGAGTTGACATTTTAGGAAATACGCTTATTTATTTTCTTTGCCGGAGTTAAATGAGAAGACTGTAATCATTCTTGTGTCTTTACAGTAAATATGAAGCTTAGCTTAGCATAAGCTGGCATGGCTCTGTTTAAAGATCAAAAACTATCAGCTTACCAACACCTCTGAACCTGGTATGCAGGTAGATGCAGGTAACGTCCAAACAGTGTTATATGAAGTAACACGTAAGGGTTTTGCCAGACAGTTTCTTGGCAAAAACTGCGTACCTGCCATAAAACCACAACATGTGATTTATTTTCTTTTTTGTTTTTGTACAGATTAAGAAAAACAAGATAAAAACACTTTAGAGCTTTAGAGATGTAGATGAATTAGATTACTTTTGGACATAACCAGGCTAGCTGTTTCCTCCTGTGTACAGTCTGTGTACTAATCTAAGTTAATTGGCTGTTGGCTTCATATTTGTCTACTGCATTGAAATAAGAGAACTATTAACCTTCTCATCCAGCTCTCACCATGAAAGTAAATAAGTACATCTCCCAAAATGTCTTTTCTTTAAAAATGTCACCTGAGGTTTTAAAACCTCTAGGATGACTGTTGTCAGGCATTATGTTGGTTTTGCATGTACCCTGTAGTACCTAAAAGAGTGAATGGTCCTGCTGCATAAAACCATAAAGTCTTATTTAAATGTATTATTTGTTAGATATTGGCGCAGCCTGCTATGTGTACTTTTGTTTCAAACACTAAAGTTTTCACGTTTCCATACCACCCACATGGTCAGCCCTGAACCAAATCAAACAGTTATATGAGTGTATACATAGAGTGAATATTACTTGTATTCAGAAAAAGCTGAAAGTCAATTTTGCAGAGAGTTCCTATTTAAAACATTGATTTTTTTTTTATTTGATAATACATTGTATTGACCATTTAACTGGGAATGTTACAAGGGCCTTGGTTTATTTTATTTTCCAAGGTTTTATCTTTTTATTGGATTGTACTGTGTTAGATGGGAGAAAGAATGTTACACTTTCAATGGCAATGTTTCTTTCCAGTGATGTATAAAATGTCAAGTTACGTCCGTCTGAATACTCACTGCAAGTGAAAAAAATCCCAGCTATTTTCCTGGCTTAGAAATCCTTTGCCCTCACCCATACACGAGTAAAAAAAAACATTAAATCACGGCAAACATGAATCAGTTATATTTCCTTTCTGTCTATAAAGACATTTTACCTTTGGGCTGTCTTTGATAACTTGTAGGGGATCTCAGCTTTACAAACTATCAAAGATTTGCATAGAGCTTTAGACTTGGTTTGGGAGAGATCATTCTTTTACTGTCATCCTGCAGCCTCAGACCTTCACAGAGGAGCCGTCTACAGTTACACATTTCTCCTTTTTTTCACCAACACAAATCAGAAGATACTGCGCTCGCAGACAGAGATGCAGTGCGCACACTGTACATGCTTCATGTGCATCTGACTCTGCCACAGCTAGAAGAGGGAAACTGGTCGGTACAGTAATTAGGGAGCAATTTCACTGTATTGCCTGAATTATGAAAATGTGTAATGAAAAAGGATGACCACTGCCTTAAACACACCTCTTGATACTTGTCATTATATAGGAAAAGACTGAAGGACTTTATTTAGTGCCTTCTTTGATTTTGAGGCATATTGTTAGTATCATACAGTATCCTCATGTACACTCTTACTATATCTTGTATAGTTCTGTCCTCTCTAAGTCACAGGGCCAGTACTCATCTACGTCTGTTGTCTGTATTCATGCAGTATGGACATCGCAATCTGGAGCCTAAAAGAAAAACGCTGGAATGAGTTTGACGTTAAAAAAGAAAAGTTTTCCTTGTTTTAACAGGGTCTGTGGCAGCTTCCACTGAGTCGAGTGTCATATGACAGGAAGTACAGTACTATTTATTGTCCTAATTAGTATTCACAAATTAATTTCAATTTGGTCAAAATGTTTTTTCTGCTTCACTTTATTATTTTTTTTTTTATGTATGATTTAGATTTTGCTAATGACAAGGCTCACTAGTATTGTCAGAGAGGAATACAGTACTAAAAGCTATAATAAGCTACAATAAAAGTACATTTTATTGTTTCCAGTGTCGTGGAAACATTCGCATGACAGATTTTACTTTGAGGTTTGATATTTATCTTAAATGGTTATAAAAGTGACTGCTGCTTTTAATCAAAGAATATTAAAAATGGTCAGAAGCGTCATGCTAATCCAATTTTTTGATTTGTTTTAAATACTTGATATTTAGTGTGTGTATTTTTTTCACTCTCTCAGGTTCATGAGTGTTAATAGTTGTTTTTTTGCATCTCAGGTAGATTGCAAATTTAAGGCCCCAAGTATATATTGTAGTACCACAGCTATTGAGAAAGTGAAGAAATCACAAGATGTACATGTTTTTCTCAGTTGTACATGTTTATGTGTTCTTACTATGGTGCACTGTTACAGTAAACGTTAAATATTATTTTGCATAGACCTAGTTCACAAAGAAATAAAAATTAGATTTGTTAAGCAGACAAAAATTATGTACAGTCAGTGTCAACAAAATCCTGATGATGTTCATTAAACCTCTTCTTCCACTGTAACACTTTGCTCATACAGTATTGGTTATTTAGTATTTATAGGATGTGACTACGGACAGTGGACCGAGTATCTGTTTGCATTCAGTCGATTCATGCATAAAGTTTCATAGATGAAAAGCTGGTGTATTTACTGTGACATGAAGTTTTATGAATGACCTGTAACATGTCTTGGATATTTGGGTAAAACCCATGTTAAAAGCCTTGGCAGGGAGGTAGAGGGGGTTTGGTCATTTTATTAACCCCAGATGGTTGTTTTTGTTATTAAATCTTACATTTCTCTATGTACCCAGGCAATATTTTTCTTTTGTGTAGTGAAGAGGATTTTGCTCATATGACCATACATATTTTGTATTGGTTCACACCAACATTTTTACAAAAGAAAAAAAATCTGAGGAGTACTTGTCTTAATAAAAAAAGATATCAATGTTTAAAGCGGTGTGCTGTTGTGACTTGATCAAAAACGTGGTTTCACTTTGTTGTCCTGTCCTGCTAGCAGACGGCAGAATTCATTAACTTCTATTTGTTGCCAAATTCACTCGATGATGACTGAATGCATTACCTGCTCGCTTCATCCTGAGCTGCTGATACTCCCAAAGAAGAAGGATCTTGAGTTGACGCTAAAAATACTGTTCCAGTGTAGATGCTATATGGATGACAGACAGCAATCTGCGCTCCCATCAGTGATTGACACATGCACTGTGGTACAGATAGAGCCGAGAAACCTTTTAAATGAGACGATGACTGACACCGACAAGCTCGGGGGCCCCTGTTAGGGTTCCTGGCTGAACACCTGGATGTTCGTGATTTGACAAATTGATAGGCATTTTGGGGAACAAGACCTAATTCATAACCATAAGCTATTCTGTCATCATATTTCTGTCAGTGCCACCATTTCCCATTACTTTAAGTGATCCATCCCAGGTAAGGGTCAATAACATTATTCAAACTTTAATGGGAATAGTTTAACCTTAGAAACCAGCCACTTTTCATGTAATCATTGAAATATAACGCTTCCCTCAAGGAACATTAAATACCTGCCTATTGATTTTTGAAACATGACAAATTACGGGATTTTCACTGTATTTATTTATTTTATTATTTTCCCCCTAGGTTACACTCTTAAAATTAAATCATCTGAATTAAAGGCAGGTACAAGGATTTGCTATTCTGCTGCGCCAGCTGTCAGAGCCCCGTGAACGCACGAATGTAGCGGGGTGATGTTTCATTTAGATGCTACTAATCCCATTTAAATGTTCAATTTTAATTTGGAATGACATGTTTAAGTGTAATTAGCACAATGGGGAAATCGAGAGTGAACGAATGTCTGAGCACGGCTTGTTTAGTTGGCTAATTGATTGATTGAGATTGATGGCATGTAGCACTTGGCTTGGCTGAGGTATAATTAAATGATGTGGGAATAAATAGTGGGTGAACAAAGGCAAACGCAACAGGCTCTGTCTGCACACTTACCTCTCTCTATGCCATTCCTGTTTAGCACAAATGCTTATTTTCTTATTGATTTATTGACTGATTCAATTGTTAACAAGACGACAAGTATGTTCTGTTCAAACTACATTTTTATTCCTTACAGAGAACTGCTCAAGGGCTGTTTGTGTAACTGGGGTTTTCTTCAGAGGATCGAAACCAGTTTTATATATAGGATAAAAAGCCTCTATCTGAAAATAAAGTGCCCATGATGGCTCTTTATTCAAAATTGTTGTTGTTTGGCCTTGAAATGTCACACAGCAGAAAAACATCAATTACACTTTGTCACATATCAAGCAATACTGCGTATATAATTGTGGGGGGGGAAAGGAGTTTGCAGTGGTAAATTATAAAGTCATCAATAAAAGAAAAGGTGCAATGTGTGATTTATGCAGAGGTCAGTATGTGAAATTATTTAGAGGCTCATCTTTGTTTTGTACCTGTGCACATCAGCATCGCCCATCATGTTCGATATGCATTCACTTGAATGGATGTTCAACTTATTACACAATATACCAGTTATTTTATAAAGAACTGACAAGCCTTACTTTACTTTGGTGACGTTTTTGTTCAAACTTGCCCCATGCGAAGTGGTAGAAGCCAGCTGCTCCCTGTCTATCCAGACTTTTAGCCAATGATTTCAACAATTGCACTTCAGCTGACTATTTGTACTGTTTATTTCATTTAGGTGTTTTAGCTTTTATTTAAATATTTTGTTATTTATTCATTACCTTTAGTGAACTGGTAGACTTCACCGCTCACCTGTTTTCACACAGTCACGTAATTTTCAGGTGTTGCATCTGACTTTTTTAAAATTGTCTGTGCAAATTCTTTTGAATTGCATCTTGTTGTACCAAATTTGTTGAGATACCTCATACCGCCTAACAGCTACTGAAATTTCCTGGGGTGCAAGTAGACACCTGA